GAGTTCTAATCGGTCACTTGGTTCTCCACGGGAGAGTTTTCTTTGCGGACATGGTTCTCCTCGGGGACATGGTTCTCACCGGGAAAGTTCTCCAGGAAGAGGCCCGGAGCCGGAGACCTGTTGTAGGGTGTGGGGTCGCTACGGTTGCGTTCAAGTCGTCGTCGGCTTCAGTTCGGCTTCCGCCACTCTCCCTCTCTAGGGACTCTGTCCAGTAACACAAATTACCCCCTCGTAGTCTTCAGTGAGTCGCAGAAACACTGTGCGCGGCCTTGCGGGCGCCGCGCCTCGCTATCCGCACTCACCCTGACCTGCCCCAACAGATACCGAAGGGACGCGTCTGGTTTCCCTATACTACTAGGGGTATTCGGTTCGGTATTCTTCTCCTGTTGCGAATACTACTTGGATTGGGGGGGGGGTCCACGTTGTTTTATTTGATAGTGTGTTTTGCTGTGCGGGAGGGAGGGGGGGGGGCGCTTCTAGGATAGTATTTTGTCGGGTGTGAGCGGAGCGACTGGGTGACGTCATCCTCTGCATCAGCTGGCCCCCCCTACCTCCCTCCCCGAGCCCGGGCGAGCCTCCTCCAGCTCCAGCCGGAGCGCGCCCGCCCGCCCGAGCTGGCCGCCCGTTGGTACCTTGCCGGGGGTGTGTCTCTCTGGGCTGGCTGCCAGCTCGGCCAGCCCCGCCGGTCCGTCCCCCCGGGGGTGGGTGGGGGGCAGGTAAGCTCCCGGGCGGCAGGTGCCTACGGAGAGGATTCTGGAGAGAGAATGCTGCTGCTGCCGTGTGCTCGCTGGAGAGGGGAAGATTGTCGAGCATGACCTGCCGCCGGGGCTAGAGAGGGGCCGGCGGTGCGGCCCACTTTTAGTGCTGCCGATGTACAGTAGTTGTTGATTCTCCCGCCGCGTCTTATTTTTAGTTTTCCCGTCCACCACCGCCCCCGGGCCGGGGGGCGGCGCGTGGCTAGCGCTGCCCCCGCGGCCCTCTCCTTTCTCACACAAGAGTGCGCAAGATAACTCTTGTGTGTCTGTGTGTGTCTGTGTGTGTCTGTGTGCGTGCGCGCGCGCGCGTGTAGCACTATCGGACGTTCGCCCATTAGTAAGAGCTTCACGGCGGGTTATTTACTCGTGCGTGACTGTCGCTTGTCGTCGGAAAGGGAATAGAAGTAGTGCACGCCGAGGGGCACTAAACTCATCAAGAGAATCAACCTATACCGCTTTAAAAAAATCTAAAAAAATTAAGAAAAATCTGAAAATCCGAAAAAATCTGAAAAAAAAATTAGGAAAAAAAATCCAGAAAATTTAAGGGTCAAACAGAAAAATCGGTGTACGCTTGAACGTGTAGTTTAGTTATCCCTCGGTGCATGTATGTAACTCGTGCATGAGCGCGCGTGCTCCCGTGTGGCCTTCCACCGTCTATTTATTGGCGGCGTTCGGCGGGGGTGTCCCGCGGAGGAATCTCCGACCCCCCTTAAAATGGTAGTTTTTATGTGAATCGTGGCGACAGGAAGGATGCCCCCGCCTCCTCGCGCCCCATGTGTCTAGACCGGTCTAGACGAGAGCCAAACGGGGGCCGTGACCGCGCCCAAGTGCGCACGATCTATTCTAGTACGCAGGGGCGTGCGCGCTCGCGCGTCCTTGGCGCACACGCTATCGTGCACGCACGGCTAAAGCCAAAAATGTGTGAACGAACACCGAACGCTTGCGTTGTGGTGGCATGTGCGTGAATTTTCCGTTCGTACAACTTGTTATTATTTTTTCAAGTTGAGCGAAAAAAGTGTGCATACAAGTAAACGTTAATGTACACACTATACTTGATGGTATGTGTACACAAGTAGTGTGGGAATAAATGCACCACCAGCTGTCAAGTGTTCGACTCGTGTCACACGACGTCACGGCCGGTCACGCGATGCCGCTCTGTCTCGTGTGTTGTGTCTGTACGACGGCCGGCCTCTTGGTGGCGCCACGGCGCGGCCGCGGCGCCGCGGGCGGCTCGGACAAGACTATGTTTGTATTTCGCGCGCCCGACCGGCCCGACCTCTCGTCGACCTTGATGTCGTCGCCCCGCGTCACGACGCCCCCTCCCCCC